AGACCGATCGATGTGGAGTTTGAATGGAGCTATCGTTCCGCAATGTTGTGGTTCAGTCGTCGGGGTTTCCGTCGGCTAAGGGTCGGTCGTCGTCCTCGTGCGCGCAATTTGCGCAACCGTCGCTCTCGCAACGCGCGAAATTCCGTTCGCGTATCCGCGGAGGCGCGATCCGCTAGCCCCGTTCACATGCGGAGGAGAACCGCGAAGGAATGGCCGGGCGAACGCAGTCGTCCGACTCAGGGCCGCGGAGGTCGTCGCCGTAATCATCCGTAGTCATTCGAGGGGCCGCCGCGCAACCGAAATCCTCGCGGCCAATTAACCTTTCCCTCGGCCAAGGGAATATGCATCTGCACCCGCGAACTCGCCTATTCCCAGTTTTATCGAGCGCATACTCGAGCCCAACCACACTTACGCCACACTGCCATAATGATTGTTCGACGACGGGGCATCAATCATACTTTTATGGTAGCCCGGACTTTTATGGTGGCGAATGTATTCGTAATTGTAGCGTTAAGATGGCCGGTTATAGAGTTACGGCAACGCTCGGCAGCTTTAGTTATTAGCTTTCGCATCTCTCGACTGGGACGATTCCTTTGGGACAATAAAAGCTAAAAAGATCATTGTGACTCGAATCGAGTATTTCGCGCGAAAAATACCTGTCAATGCTAATTTCCCGTCTACTTGTTTGCTTTGTTTGCTTCTTTATTGTATGATCTTTTACGCCAAGGAAAGCTTAGATTCGATGGTGACTGACTCAGCCGTTGAGTTTTTTAAGTGTCATAGTGCAATATTTCCTTTACGCTTAAAGTTAATGTAGGTAATAATTATGATATCGTAGATCGCATCGACAGTCTTATCAAGACAAACTGAGTTTTGGGCAAAAATTACTTTATCTCTTTCCATGAAAAATCCATCGGGGGTTTTTACGAAATTCATATATTCCCTTTGATTACATTTTAATCAACTACTAGGCGCCCGTTCGCATCATTATATTTTAACGACAGCTCTATTCGACAATTGCCAATGCACAATTGTACATTGAAAAACATTGAGTGTAGGTGTCTCTTACTACTAAATTCGATATATTTTCCAAGCGATCGAACGAACGCGGGTGCACGTTGCACTTTCATCGAAAATATGAGGCCGCGAAATTAGACGTTTCTAAATGAGTAAGCGGCTTCGGCACGATTGGAGAGGGTCGTTAGTGGCAGGTCAGAGGCACGCCGTAATCGACAATTCAACGAGGATTAGAAAAATTTAAGGGTCGAAGAGATCGAGTTTATAGAGAAAATGCATTTCACGGAAGGGACGCGATTAACGTAGTAAGTCAGACGACGTAAGTGGAATGGAACATTGTCCGAACGAGGCTGGAAATCATATAACGAAGACATTACTCCGTATCGCGGCATTATCGATTACTTATCGTGACAAATGCCCCGATTCCCATCTCCCGTCGACGATTGTCATGATTATCGAGCAGAGTCATCAAGTGGCTCATGCATCGTATTAACAAACAAAACTGCCTCGCAAAACTGCAATCAGTATGTATTCCTCTATACGGCTTACGCAACGTAGCTCAGCATAATCGTGAAGAGGATATTAGGATATTAGGACTGCCCCCCCCCCTCCCGCAACCACCATACCGATTATACAACCTTTATTCACGAGTAAAGCCCTAGCGGATATTTACTTTCGAGAGGCGTCGAGGAGAAGCCGAGGTTACCCACGGGACGGATACTGGCGTTCGGCTCCTGGAATTTCCACGGGAAGTCGCACTTTTGCGTTGTTTCCTTCTCGATCGGTCCGCGTCCCAGTAGCTTCCTGACGCACGGCACGATCGGCTTCACCGGGCTCGGGCACCAGTTACCCAGGTAGCTCATCTGTTGGCGTAATTTTCGTAATGTCGCATTATCCATTAGATGAAATCGCCTCGTATTTAGCAATTGCAATAAGCTTATTAAAAAATCATCGATTTACCACAATTGTAACTCTATTAACATAATGATAGTATAGCTTCTTACGTTCATGATGCTCTTTATATCGTGCACAGAGACCGAGAAAAGCGGGTAAATTATCATTAAACAAATCGTACGATAATCGTACGAGATAAATATTAAGTAAATATATTTATTTTTGTGAAATAATTTGAATGTCACAGTGCTCGATCGTAGTGTATAGTTAAATCGTTTAAACAATTGTGTTTTTGGAATTTCAAGGTATAATGTATTATCTTGCGTGATTGGCTGTGTACATTTTGCAAATCTCGGACATAATTAATGTCAAGCGAAGATCAATAAATTATACGACAAAATTTCCATAATACCGGGATTTTATACTGGCGAGACGATACACGAAAATCTTTAAACCGTTACAACATACTTTCACCTTTTTCATATTTCACCACAAGTTTTCATTACATGCAAACGCTCTCAAAGTGAAAACGACAATACTTTTTTCTTTCTCTCCTCCCCCCCCCTCTCCCCTCCCCCCTCCCCACCCACATTAAAGTGTCAATATACCAAATGTTGTCGAAGAAATTTTTATTATTGCCGTATGAAGGTTTATGTAACAATGCTTACGATACACATTTTGAAAGACCAATGCAAATGCACTAGCGAATTATTACAATACACAAGCATTATTTTGGTTGTTTACAGAGTTTTTTTTTTATTAAAAATCGGGAGAAATCTGACAATTAGGTTGCCCGGGGGGGGGAAAAATTTTTTTTTAAAAAAAAAAAAAAAAAAAAAAAAAAAAAAAAAAAAAAATATATATATATATATTCCATAGTCTTTTCGCAGCATTTGTTGTTAGCTTGAGTCAAGTCCACGTTAAAAATTTATTGTTTAATCGCTTAATGAAGTGACAAAAAATTACAACAAAAAAACTTTCACTGCAACAAAGCGCGAGTATACTTATGAGTATAGGCAAATTGACAGAGCGACAAGAATAGAAAATTCGACAGCGTTTTAAGTGATGGTATACATGGCAGTAGAGATGCACTTAACTGGCATACTTAACCTTAAACTTATATAAAGTTACGGATATAAAGCGAGCGTTTCCGGCGAAATTAAAGGAGCCGCCGGAAATCATAGACCCCCGATGCATCGACTGTAGCGAGGAATGTCCGATCGACGAAAAAATGGATGATGGATGATGGATGATGGATGATGGATGATGGATGATGAATGATGAATGATGGATGATGGGAGGAGGATGTATGCTATATGGGTGGTATGGGGCTACTTTGTTGACAGTATCGTGGTCGGTGGATTGGTTAACGAATATCTCATTGGGCACCGGGTAGATGGGCTTGGGCTTGTCACCATCGCCGCCAAAGTAGCTCAGCCCATACGTCGTCTCGCCCTCGAAGGAGAAGTTCCTCTTGTTCAGCGGATTGTCGTCGCTCTGTTGGAGAATCGGTTTCACCCGCGGCTCGCACTGCGGCCAATAGCTCAGCTTATACGTCGTGCAGTTGTCGACACGCGTACTTGGCTTCACGTACATCGGCTTCTTCTGCCAGGGATGCTCCTCCTAGGGACGTCAAGACAATCCTAATGCAACGCGATACCTTTTTTCCCAGTGAGTTGGCGCGAATCAAAATTTATGATCTTACGCGATGGACGGTGTCGTTGTTAAAAAAGCTGAGCTTATAGGTCGTGTAGTCGTCCAGCGGCACCTCGGTCTTCTCGTAAAGCCTGATGGGCTTGAATGACTTAACTGGCTCGTTACACGTTGACTCGAAGTAGCTCGACTTGTACGTCGTGTTATCTGAAAAATTGGACGATAATGATGCGAGCCGCGTGAATCGATAAATTGTCCACGCTATCGAGCTAATGCACTTTTCCGTTTTTACCTTCGATGTGACCCCTCGGCATACGCAAATTTCCACTATACTTCATCGGCTTTTCTTTCAGGCTGTACTTCCATACGAAATCCTCCTTCTGGGTTGTTTGATTTTCGATGGGTCCGCGACCGAAGAGGCTCCTCTTACACGGCAAAATTTTCTCTTGCGGCTTTATGCACCAGTTGCCCAGGTAGCTTAGCTGCGATTAATCATTGCCAATGGAATTTAAAGTTTTAATGCAGTCAATAGTAATTGGACGCTGCAGCAACGCATTAATTGCAGTGTAATGAGGAAAGGGATTGGATCATTAGAATATAACGGCTGATAAGAAAAGCGCTTAAAATAACATAATGGCTTAGTGGACGGTAGTGGGGAGTGGGAGGCAACAACGCGTACTAAAAGTCATCGCATTCGATTGGTCTTGTCCGAATAAATGACTAAGTACATAATCGGTTGAATTGTTCAAGCTTTCGTTGACTCGTTGCGTAAGAAAGTCGTTACTTTATGGGTTGTGTCGGATGTGATCTTGCCCTCGGCAGTTGCTAGGCATCCGTAACGTATAAGTGGCTTCCTAACTGATCTCGGCCCAGGCCAGAACGACATTCTGTAGGTCGTGGTGTCTTCCAGTGGAATATCCGTTCTTTGAAAAGTCTAAGTTAAATAAGCAAATAAGAGAGCTCGGTGAATGACGATTGACGGCGACGGGCAGCTACGGTAAGTTTGAATTTTGAAAAATAATTAGAGTACTTGCCCTAATTGGACGGAAGGATTTTGGAATTTCAGGCTGAACATATTTCTGTCGGAACGAAATCGTACTTTACATATTTTCCTCGCCTTTGCGAAATTTTATAAATATTTGACTTACGTAGACTGCCAATACAGGAGCTTTACAGCAGCAGCAGTTGCAGCATTCACCGTGGCCCAGCTGATACGATTAAACGAATAATAATAATTAAATTAGCAAGGAATTTAATGATTAATGAACGTATGAGAACGTTCATCGATAAAATATATCTGACTTACGCGAATTTTATTCTTAATTTCAATGACGGAGGGTACTTTGACACGGGGACGTCTACGATGTGGCGCGTAATATTAATTATGTTGACTGTTTCTATTAAAAAAAAATTTTTTTTTTTTCAAATAATAAAGCATCGTGGCGAACTTACGGGGTATCGACATGTATTTCCATTTTCTCCTATTAATCTGAAATATTTTTGACAAATTGAAACTGAATTTCGCACATAAATAATAATTTTACAAAACAACACGTCCTGAAATAATTTTTCAACTACATTGAGGCAATATAAAATTTTTGAAACAGGTTATCACGAAAAACAATCGAATGCCATTGTAAACTATTTTATAAATATTCATGTTACAGATGTCAAATGAACTTAGACATTTTTATGATACGAGAGACTGAGATATTTGGATAATCGAGATATATACGTTGAAAATTGTTTTTTTTCCTTTTGTTTTTTTACAAAACGTTCTCATCATTATCTTTATTATTCCGCTTTGTCATGGTAAAAACAAAAATAAAATAAAATATAACATTTAATTACTAAATAAAAGATCCATGTCTTGACCTTATTTATCATTTATCACATTCATCACCATTACTTTTTCTTTTTTTTATAGATCGTAATTACAATGGTACTTATATATTTATATATATATATATATATATATATATATATATTTATAAATAGAATTACATGTAAATAAAATAATCCTGTTTTTTTTTTTTTTTTTTTTTTTTTAATATATTTAATATCAAAGCACAGTGACATTGGAACAATAATTCCTTTTATTTATTTATTTTTTTAAATATTTTTATTATCATTATTGTTATTATTCTTTCATTTAAATAACAAATCCAAAAACGCTTTCAAGACTTAATTCTAACGTGTTAACAAACATTATTTTTAAATATCATTATACAGATCACATGTAAATATGACTTGTAAGGTCCCACTTGGGTACAATAAAGTAAAAAACGAATTACGCTAACTAATTAAATCATTATAAGATTTCGATAGATTACAACGATAGTCATCATGAACTTATGTTGGTCCGATGATGGCGAATGGCAGTCTGTATTAAGATTTAATATTTTTGATCTTCGAGCATCGAGTATATATTTAACAAACGCAGTCGGGCGTTATAAATAATTTGTACATCATGTACTATGCTATTATTATCCTTATTTAACCAGTGTTATAAATAAATATGAATAAATGAGTCGTAGATGCTAATGTTCATTTCTTATAATTTTTGACGTATTTATTTTGACACATTCACAGACTCGAAAGCAATATTGACATTTGAATTTAAAAAGCATCGATGCATTAAATGTTTTTCATTATGTAAAAAAAATATATATACATATTTTCGATCTTCTTACACATATATTACATTTATATTATAAAACCATCGGCAATTTCGACACGAAATAATATCTAATAAAATTATTTGCATAATACTTACACAACAGTGTAATCAATTTCCAATACTTTATGAAAAAAATTAAAAAAAATAAAAAAAAAATAAAAAAAAATAAAAAAAGAAAATGAAACTTGAACGGTAATGATAAAGTTCATACTCAGTCTAACAAATGTTTCGTTACGTAAGCATTATAAACTTTAATATGAAATAAATTAAGAAGATAATTACAGTAGCAAACTGGTATGCCAATTCAGTTTACAACATCGGATGAATTAAAAATTGAAGATTAACATGGATTCCTTTAATTCGTCGCTACAAAAGGGAATAAAAAGAAAAAAAAATGAACAAAAACACGAGAAAAAAAAACAAAAAACAATCCTTTACTGCACCTTTGTTCGTACATCTACTCAAGAGGACCTTAAATAAATAAATAAACTTTTTTTCACTCCACGCGGTTTGCTGATCACGCATTTAATCGTTATTTCAATTCTCTCAGTACGATGAGAAAAATGTAAAACCTAGTGAAAATTTAAGAAAATATTGTAAGGCGAGATGTCCGTGAGCGAGTTGCAGATTGGTCACGGGATTTCCATCGATTGTACGACAAAAATTCCTTCAATCAAGAGTGGCCACTGAATTGTTCAGGCCAACGTGAGGCCGAGGCGCTGAGCTATTTGGGGCGTGTGAGTCGTCGCCACGGCGAGAAGAAGAGGCAAATCGGCAGCGTCCACGTCGAGGAAGCTTGTCAAGTTGGTATAGCTCGACTCGCTCGTGTCGGCCGCTAAGAGAAACTCTGCGAGAGTCTCACTGCGCATCCACATTTCGCGCAGTCTGCTCTCCAGTAGCTTTATGCACTAAAAATGAAAAGATAGAGATAACGAGATCGTTATAATAGGCGTGACAGGTGAATAATCGCTATGTTGAACGAATGATTTGATGATTTCTTTTTTTTCCTCTTTTCCTCTTTTCCTCTTTTTCTCTTATATGAAACAATATTATAATTGCAAGTGGGACACTCGTATTTTCGTTATTATGGTACTTCGGAATGCTTGCCAAAGTTCGTTGAACCCCCTGACTCATCGTCTTTCGACTCATTAGCTTCGGAATAATTCACATGTGCAATGCCTGTACGCGCAATTCAAGCGAGCATCTTTCACGAATATTTGATAATATGGTATATTTTTCGTATTGAAACATTGCTTTTAAGGTAAAATTTGTTCTTCTTTCGCAAGCGTAAATTTTTACATGCAATGTGGCAACGAATGTAAGTTCTTTTTTGTTTTTTGTTTGTTTTTCCTTTTAAATAGAATAAGTCGATTATTTAATGTCTGTAAATAATAATTCAAGTAATAATAAATCGATGATTACTTATAAATTTCTTTATATGCGTTAGATTTCAGTATCCGGTAAATCTCGATCTTATTTTTATCATAATTTACATATCCTTTGTTACTTTATTATATGTTTCGAATGTCGAAAATTTTGGTCTAGTTTTTTTTTTCTTTTCTTTTATATGCGTTTATCAAGAAAGTACAGCTTTCTGAAAACTTTCCATTAAGTCTTGGCTATTTCGTGAATTTCTCTAAATTTCGCCAATCTATCGACACGTCCATTTCACGTGTTATATTACTAATGAGTCTATTTGAATATTCAAAACAAAAAACTTATGTAAATTCTAATCGCTTAGTCTTAGTTAATTAAACGGAAATTCATTTGTATTAACGTATTTATTTACGTAATTATTTAATTTAAAATTCATTTGTATTGACGTATTTATTTACCGGCGTTTCGAAAAATGTTATTATCGATCGTTGAAAGTAAAATAAAACACCGTCATTTCTCATTGGTAAGACGATACTAGTTTTGTTTGGAAGTCGGTCATCGATTTCTTTATTAAAGTCAATATTTTGATAAAAGAAAAAATATGTATTTTATGGCTCATGTATTATAAACTATTATGGTTTGCTGTACCGAATAACAAATTATAATAAGAGCGATTGAAGTTTCGATTAACGATAAGGAGAGATTAGGTAGTTGTGCAAACAATTCTAAATTAAATATTGACTTCGCATCAGAATCGCTTGATAAATGATTAATTATAGAGTCATGGAAAAGCCGTTAATTATCCTTCCATTTCTCTTCTGCAAGTGTGGAAAATTAACAAAAGGCGAAAACAACTCGCTACATTATGTAAGCGTATAATATAATATAAATTGGTATATAACGTTTTAATTAACGTGTATTAAGCAATGCTGTATTTTTTATTAATTTTTATTCTTATTTATGATCGTAATCTATATGAAATTTAATTCTCATAATTTGAAATGCTAATAAACCTCGGATTTGTTTCAAAACATTTCAGTCTAATGAGTGCAATAAAATCTTCGAATTCCCTACATTAATAAATATGAATTGACGGATTTTTCTTCTTATTCACTACACAAAAACAAACTATTTAAAAAATTAATAAATAAATAAATAAAATAATAATAGTAATAGTAATAGTAATAATAATAATAATAATAATAATAATAATAATAATAATAATAATAATGGTAATAATAGTAATAATAATGGTAATAATAATAGTAATAATAATAATAATAATAATAATAATAATAATAATAAGCCTTGTACATTAGTAAGTGCAAAAGGATAATAACGAGGATCGATGTTGAGCGAAATGGATGAGGTTGAATTGAACGTCGTAATACCGAATTACCTGGACGGGCGATCTAAACTCTTTCCACATGCATGCGAAAGCCTCAAGCATATTGGAGACGAGCCTGGACATGCCGACGGGTATGGGTGTTGATCCTCCGGCGCTATTCGACAGCAGACCGACCTGCCAATTGTCCAGATCTCCGAGTATACAGAGAGCTTCGGATACGGGATGATCGACGATGGGAAACTTAGCTTCGACGCCGAGGCCTTCTCGAATCGGCCACCACCATTCTTTCCTACACTCCTCCTCGGTTTTTCGCCTCGACTTTTCCTTCCTCTTGGTGAAACCCTGTACGACCATTCCCCAGGTATAGCTGGAATCTCGACTGTCTTCCTCCGAGTCCACTGTTTTCGAGCTCAGCAAGCTCTTTGAGAAGCCGACGCGTTCGCTCGACATTTTCTTCGTCAATCCCGACACCTTTTTCGACCTGCGAGTCATTCCAATATTCAGGCTACGAGCTTTTATTACACTTATACAGAATATTAGCGTTACTCGCGTTAAACGACATTCAAGTAAGTTGAATAATGCTTATTATGACCAGAAGATGCCGAATTTTGTCAATAATTTGACAAGATCTTTACGTGTCATTGATTATTTCGACAAGATCATAGGCATTTTAATATATTTGAATGACAATAGAAATTCAATGTAATGGCTTATTATGTGTGACCATGTTTATTGTTTTTATGCCTTTTTTCTTTTTTTATATTTTTTATATATATATATATATATTTTAATATTAATCTTTAAGAAATATTATAGTTTAACATATTTTTGTAATTATAAGTAAGACGAACGTTAAAACTTTAATTAGTTTATAAAAATCCTCTCGAACGACACTACATTTTAGGTCGTCAGCTTTATGTCGTAGAGAGGGTTTGCGCGCCCGTGTGTATGTACAAATACCTCTGTCTGTCTCGACTACTTCGCCTCTCCCCTACCACACCCACTACGGCTCCCGCCTTCGTCATCTCACATACTCTTTATCGCTAAAAACACAAAGTACAATTTCAGAGAGTCCTTGATTTTGGTATCTCGTCTTTTCCCTTTATGCTGTTTTAACTATACTCGTGTAGACAAAAGCCGACGTTCCCGTGATTTTCTCTTTTCTCTTTGCCTTAGATCGCAACTACGACAACGAAGTACACGTCGCTATATCTATTCGTTCCTACGAACACGAACTTTACATGCACTGAAATTTCATTCTCATAAATTTTTCCACTATATCATATTTAAATATATTATTATCTTATTAAGGAGTAATAATTTATTTTATCACTGAGAGATATTAATATTTTGATAATATGTAATATTGAAAAACATTGATTTCCTTTTTACTTCGCTACAACCGTGTAATTTCTCCTTCATAATATCAAATAAATACTCGGTTTTATTTTTCTTACTCAACTGGAAACCTATAAAAGTTCTATTATAAAATGCCATTAATACGCTCTGCAAATATCGAACTAAAAATAGTTATGTATTAAAGAGAAGTTAAAAGGTCATTTTTTACTAATATTGGACGAATGAATGCAATATTTGGGGCGGCGATACTAAAGAAGTATTTCAACATTCAAGAAAATAAGACGATATTTTAAAATATTTTTCATCGATATATATGCAAAAGAAGGATAATTGTTAGTTAAATCGATTAACACACGCACGTGTTGATATATAAAACCATTAGAGATAATTTTTCAAGTGATAATTTATAATAATTAGTAGGTTTATTAATGATTTCTCAAAAGTAATTATATTCTCCAAATATATTCTATGTGCGTTCTAAAATTCTCTCCTTCTCTCTCTCTCTCTCTCTCTCTCTCTCTCTCTCTCTCGTTTAACCTTAGAGCAGTCGGGGAGTTTCCACGATTCCCTATCGTCGTTCAAAGCAATTGATATTACGTGTCAATTAAACAAGGACTAGGGATCGAAGGCAGAGAAGGTGAAAGGAGGGGTGAGAAGCATCGGTCCGGGTAGTCTACCTGGGCATGGGCAGCTCGATGACGCAACTCGCCTCGATAAGGGCCTCTAGACAATTGGAGTTGAGTACTCTAGAGCTGGCTGAGCCGCGACAGCCCCTGAGCATCTCCGTAGCATTCGTCGGCGTTTCCAGCAAGAGTTTGCCATTCTCGAAGCCGTGGGAGGAGCTCGCGTAGCCACGATGGCATTTAAGACAGAGGCCAAAGTCGTCCGTACAATCCGCCGAGGGTTGCATGTTTTTCGAGGACTCGGGAAAGTTGCGCTGGATGATCTTTCTGAGGACGCCCTCTGGTAGCTCCGCGGAGGTGCTCGGCACCCGCGTGAACGTATACGAGCACTGGCACTTGCAAGTGGATCGAAGGCGCTCGCGGATCGTCAGTCCGGACTTGGTATCGTTGCCGAGGGCAAAGTACACTTGGGCCTTGGTCTCGTGGGCCGCCGTGTCCTCGCCGAGACTCGAGAGCAACGCCAGGGATGGATCCTCTCTATAACGCAATGGATTATTCAATTTTGTCCTATCGTTGATATACTTCGGCTAAATGACCTCGTAAATAAGTCATGATTATTGCTTCCTGTTACTTCAAAAATATTTTAAATACAGAAGAATGTAACCGACCGATTTATATAAAAAATGAGAGCGAGTATAGCAAATTTTGTATAAATCTATATTATTACTGATTATGATCGTTACGAATAATTTTTCTTTTTTCTTTCTTTCTTTTTTTTTTTTTGAAGAAATAAAATTTGAATAAATAAAACGGTTTAATCGTAATATAATACATATTTCAAAATTAATATGTTTCACATCGACATTCCGATTATATAGTAATTTTTAAATTATAAAGCCTTTAAGCTTTAGAATTAGTTAAATCTTATAAGTTATTGTAATTTATTGTAAGAGTGCTGATGCAAGCACACGTGCGAGAAATAAAGATTTCTTCTTAATAATTGATGTCGAAGACGTTGTCATTATTGTTCGCCAAATCGTCAATAGACAAAAAAAAAAAAAAAAGAAGAAAAAAAAAAGAGAAAGTGCTTTAATTCTCATCTTCTCATCGACCTTTCACTCCAAGAAATCACAAGATGATATTACATTTAACATACTCATTAACGCGTCACATATATAGCTCGAATGATCACTATGTTGCATTTTTAATTTAATTACTTAACAAATAAAAAATTTTCCAATTCAACCGACACTTTTTATTCTAAATTTTATTCTAATAAACTCATGCCATTATCTACCATCGGCAATAACTATTTTCCCAACCGTTTTGTCAAATACATACGCAAAATAAAGTCTGCCTTACAAGGTTTTGGAGTCCGAGTGAAAGTTATCGAGAGTAAGCTTCGGTCGCCTAAGAGCCGCCAATTTCTGATCTATTATGGCGTCGTTGGTGATCTCATTTACAGCCACCTTCTTCTTAGCCAAAAATCCTCTCAGTACACTCTCCTTATGAACCTCCCGCTCCTCGTCCTCGCGAGGAATGAGCTTCGGCTCCCTAGTCGCCGTCCTCTCCTCGCCGAGCTCCTCCTCCACGACGGCACTACTCTTTAGCTTCTTGGCCGAGGTCATCTCGAACATCTTGTCGATACAGTCGTCGTCCGCAGCCTCGAATTCGAAACGCTTCCGCGGCTGGTCCAACTTCGTCTCGGACTTTGGTATCGGCTGGGTAGACTCGGCCAAGGTCGTCGATTTCTTCCATCGTCTGCCGAGGTCCGGGCACGCATTCTTACGGTCGGCTCGCTCCAGTATCGCCACGGCCTCGTGCACGTCCTCCTCCGATCTGCAGCGGCTCTCCTCTCGCCTCTCCACGACACCGCTTCGCAGGAAGTACGAGAGAAAGCGGAGGACCGAGGCTATGAGCTTCGCCTTGCCCGGCTCACCGGCTATTACCGTCTGGGCCACGCGAGCCGGTGTGCCCAATGCCCCGTACAGGTCGTTCAGCTGGGCCCACAGGGGACTGCAGGCGTATTGCTTATCAAGGCTGAGACTCTCCATCTAGAATCGAAAGGCGCGCGATAAGAAGCGACCGATTGGCCAAGCAGTCGTCTTTATGAGGTATCGAGGCTGCGTTAAGCCAATGTCGACTGCGGCACGTCTACCCTCTTGCCTACCAACAACACCCTACCGTCACCCTACATGGCGTTACAGGTGTCGTAATGAATGAATGAAGCATGGGACGCTATGAATGGGATTGGCGTGACGATGATGTGTGAGTGTGTTAGGGAGTCGGAGATGGTCGGATTTTAATCGGATTTTAATCGGATTTTAATCGGATTTTAATCGGATTTTAGTCGGATTTCAGTCGAATTTCAGTCGGATTTCAGTCGAATTTCAGTCGAATTTCAGTCGGATTTCAGTGTCTAGACAAATGAGCCATACGTAATGCGCAATGTCTGGGCGAATTATCGATTATTACCGGTTGTTTGCTGCGACGTGGAGGTGCCGTGTGAACCCATCCCAAGTGGTGCGTGAGAACAGCGGTCACGATAGTGCTGATAAAGCTGAAACGGACAAAGGATTTGAGCAGTCGCTAAATTATATTTCTTAATTGAACCGTAAATTCGTTTATAAAGATTAAGTAGCCATGTAAGGGCGAGCTGGGCGTGCATTATTTTTCGACTTGTGCATTATGTATCTAAAGATGAGCAGAGTCGGGAATTGCGAGGATGAAAGTGAGATGAAAAAGTCCTCCCTCGCCTACTAAATTGCCGGCTCTCCCGCTACCGACAAAGAGACCGGGAGATTATCGTGAAAGGGTCGCGCTCCGAGAAGGGCGACTAGCCTAGTATTGGTTGGCTTGTTCCAACGCTCCCATGTATTTTTGTACGCCCTGAAAAGGCTGATTGATGCGAGTCTCTTCAGTTCTCTTTCTTTCACGCTCTCTGTCTTGTGGCTCGGATGCGCCACTCTACATTGCCGGAGCGCGTAGCGTGATAAAAGGCATTTCGGCGACGTGGAATTCGAGACGGGGTCGTATCTCGGCACGAGACGAAGAACGGAAACGAGAGACAGACAGACGAACAGAGAGAGAGAGAGAGAGAGGGAGAGAGAGAGAGGGAGGGAGGAATGGGGAACATAAATGTACGCAGAGGGTGAGATCTCGCAGAGACGCACCAATGTTAAATTGCGTTAAATTTGAGTAAAAATACGGGAAAAATGAACGATATTGCATTAAGATAATCAATTTACACGGCGCTCAAGAAGCTTTCTCCTTTCCAGCCATAAAGTACCGCTGTCTTCATGAATGCTACGTACAACAATGTCACCTTCACCAAACGACGTCCTATCTTTACCATTAAATTGCTCGATAATAATTGTGCAATCATCATTGACACGATGCTTGTGATGTGAAAATTCATAAGCATTCGATTGTTAAATACGTAGCCTCAAGCATCGACGAATAAACGAATGTGAAATTCTTCAACATCGGGCGTAAAATTGTGAGTTCGTTAAATGCCTCATCGAAAACATTAAACATTCAAATAAAGTAGTGCAAAAGCATTTGTTTACGTGGGTGACATTATCATTGATTGTCTAGTATCGACGACCGGCTATTTATTGCAATATAAGAAAAATAATTATCTTACAAATTCGTTGACTTGCTATCGAGTTCTTCAAGTAGTAGAAACATCTGCTCAAGACTACGGTGCAACGTGTTCACCTGAACATTGACGGTCATCGAGGAGTTGAGCAGAAGATCGTGCCAGATGAGGGTCGCCGATGTATGAGCATCGAGGCTCATGAGTAACCCGAGGAGCTTCAGAACGCAGCGGCTCGATGTTCTGTACAACTTATTCACAAAGTTTCGCTCCAAATCCTTGCCCTCGATACACGAAAGCCGAAGACGATCCAGCATCCCCTCGAGCAGTGCCGCGTGTTCCAACAGTCGCTTACTCGTCTCTCTGAAATTTTCATTATTGTCCCTTATTAGCAAGGATTCATTAAGAGTTGCGATACACGACGGATTGTGCAAGCATAAGGAGTGAATCGTTCCTTCTCCTTATTACCTTCTCATTCATGTTTTATACTAATTAAATATATGTGTGCGTGTAAATGGATATATCGTGCGAAAATTATCGTTACGATTCCGAAATCTTAGTTAATTACTTTAAATATATTTGCCGCTTAAATTTCTCTCGTTGCAATTCTTTTTATAATGCCATGGTCTTTGATATTTTTGAAGGAAAAAATTCACAATAACAATTGGTACATCAACAGAATTTTCTAGACTTTTTTACATTTGGTTTTCAAATGTGGCTCCATATTTAGATAATAGAATATAATGTAATATTTCATTGGACTCGAAGTAAAAACAAAAAAAACAAAAACTATTATAAATTAAAATACGATATCTGTATATTCGCGTATTCATATAACGAATAAATATTTTAGTTTCTTTAGACATTCATTTGCGGCAAAAAAAAAAAACTTTCTATTTCCTACAGCCATCAATTTTTTGTTTTTTTTTTTTTTTTTTTTTTTTTTTTTTTGTTTTATATATATATATAAAATATATATATATATATATATATATATATAAGAAATTTTAGCTAATAATACGAGTTCCGATAGATCTTTAAGACCCCATGCGCGAGTACATTTAATAATTAAATCAACTCTATTGCTCTTGATTACAGGTGGCTGACTATTGTGAAAGCCTCAATTTTCAATCTAAAGCGAATGTCGAGGTAGTTTATTCCCTTGTAACAATTGTTCTTAACATTGCCACATGGTTCCGCGGGAGAAAATAATTTCCAGCCAAACATGACTCACTGCTCACGGCCATTTGGCAACTGCAGGACCATTGCCAGTCCGAGCCTCGTTTTGTGCTTTGGCGCGTGAGATTCCTTGACGCTGTTAGTCGTGGGGCTCTTGCAATTTTGACGGAAAGAATCATCCGTCTCAAAACGACTGAGAGACGTTGATTCAGCTCGTAGCCAACGTCGTCGTAGACTCGAGAGGCTACCGGCGGCTCCGCTACTGTTTCCCGCTCCATCCGCTGACTGCGAACCTGCGGATCAATGATTTGTTCGCTTAGTTTTTTCTTCTTATTCTTCTTCTTCTTCTTCATCTTCTTCTTCTTCTTCTTCATTTTTTTTTTCATTTTTCTTTCTTTTTTTTTTCTTTTTTTTTCTTTTTTTTTTTTAATATACTGCCCGCTAGTAAACCATTAGTGGTCTTTAATTTGACAAATACTAACGCACGCTCTTTAAATATTTGAATACTAACAAGCGATTCGCGTATTCCACGCTTTCTATAATGGTTTATACCAAATCGGTGGAACGACAATTTGTGTGAAATAATTTTTTCATATTAGTGCCAATGCGTGAAAGCAGAAAACAATGTACGACTTCAAAGATAACACATCGTGAACTAACAACTAAATAATAATGCGCGTTGAATCGAAAAATTACATTTGGTCAAGTTTGGTAAAATGAATGTGGCAGGTTACGATGTTAATTAAAGTAATAATTAGCAAACTACTCTCGACTTAATTCTATGTAATCTCTAATAAATAAAAACAACAAAACAATGTTTACACAACGAATAGTTCTATTAAATTTGTAAATTAATAAAATTATTTGAACTACTAGTATTTAACACTAAGTATTATCAAGTTTACTTAAATATTATCGAAATACCTTGATTATAAATGATTTAACAGCATTAAATATACATAGATGAATTTTATTGTTGTTGTTTTGTTTTGTCTTTAACTTTTGATTTTGAAAGCATCTATGAGATTTAAAATTTATGATAAAGATGCAAATTATTAAATGCCCGTTAATAGGATTCGTGGCGAGGGGTCGCGTAATTTTTATACACGAGCCGACTAAATATGAAAAAAGTTATTAACTCGCTGTAAAACTACGTCGAAATTTATAAAACGGTAAATTTATATTTATACACCAACATCAACATCATATATTCGATTCCGATAAAAATATGGTAGATAAAAGTTTGCTAGACTTACTGCCAGGACGAGGAATATCAATAGCCCATCCGCTTTCAAGATTCGAACACGTAGAGCTTTTGTAGAAGGAAGTGTTCAAATTATTCCCCAAATGATTTCTAGTATTAATCCTAGAATCTATAGCACAGGATGAAAGAAAGGTAAAGTTTTTATATTTTACAAATAATAAATAATAATTAAATCGTAATTGTTGAAGTAATGGAGAAACAAAATTCGAGTGAAACTACGATATTATATAAAAATTCATTAATCTATGATATATTGATAATTATAAAAATTTCAATTAATCCTCAAAAGGCTTATATCGTTGTTGTTTATATAATGATATATTGTGTATTTAATCATCCATTATGAATTTTATGAAGACATTTATGAACTGTCGAATATCTTTATTATCTAATTGTGCATAATGTTAAAGGCTTAACAGATATACTTAAATTATTATTATGCCTATTATTACTCGTTTAACCGCGTATTGTGTAACAATACAATTTTCATTAGACTTACCTTCATTAGTCGTCAAACCACTATGATTTCCATTGGAATATCCATCACTATTTTTAATAATCAAACTATATTAGCGAAGTTAACACATCTGGTCTACGTATTTCTTACGTTAAAAGCAAAATAATCTTTTTTATTACCTTTGCTTGCAAAGTCCATGCTCCAAGTAAGGAAAGACTTTCGTATACATTATACATCCGGGAGGATTCATCTCGTGAATCTGAAATATTATTTTGATTTTTTGGAATATTAATTTCGCTTATTAGGCATTGAGCGATATTAAGCGATGCCGATAAAAGACTTTAATTACCTTGAAGGAGACACCCCTATATGTCATTGCCACAGATCCAAAAATCATTTCACTCAATAAACTTATATCCTGACATAACCACCTTTCCTATTTCAAAATAAAAAAAGGCATTTACGTCTTACGATTTTGATTAATCGATTACAATGATTTTATTGTTCAGCTAATGGAACTTTAGTTCAAATTTCATTGCCCATCACTTCCTCAAAAGTTCACGATTAATTTCGTCAAAAAAAAAAAAAAAACAAACAAAACAAAACAAAACAAAACAAAACAAAACAAAAAACAATCAACCTTTCTTGCATTCGAAATTTTTGTCCATGAATTTGGCAAAAACAAAAAAAAACTAAAAAAACAAACCTCGCCAGAAACACCATCCGAAGCTTCAACGAATCTCTTGTCGCGCTCACATAATATTCTTTTGTTCTTGATTATGTTGCGACAATATGACGAGGTATTGTTATTATCATTATCCTCCGGCTTGTGTTCCTTGTTCTTTTCAATGGCAATTGAATCAAAGAGAAGTTTTCGTCCACGCCACTCGCATTCGCGAAACAGAAGGATCCTCACACAATTTTGTTCGTACTGCAATGAATTGCTCCTGCAACGTCAAATTCATATTCATTCCAAATTCAATTATGTTAATTAATAACGTTTTCGTTTATTCAGAACTATTGATTAAAAAGTTACATATAAAAACAATTCTTTACCAATGAATTTCTGTATATGTTAAATATAATGTTGTTTTTAATATAAAATCAATACTCAAATTCGTCTTAAAATGTAATTAATCATAAACTGTCGATTAATTAATAAATATTGCGCTATTAAGAGCAAAATAAAAGTAATGACTTTTCTATTAAAAAGTGACTTTTCCATTAATTTACATTTTTATGTTAAAAATTAAATTTATAGTTAAACGAGGAAATTTGTTCGTAGTATGTTTAACTAAAATCACAGCTCAAAGTTTAATAAAACTTCTAAAATTGCTGCTTCATTTTATCGTTTAGTCAGTTATAATAAAAATCTTTTGTACGATTAAATTGTATATCTTATATTATATTAAGAAATAATATATTAATAAATAAATTATTTTAGGCATAATTCTCATATAGAATTTTATAAAATAATGCAAAACTAATTGTATCATCGATTAAAAATTTAATTGCACGACTATCTGCTTTTCTGATTTATTTCCCTATATTTTTTCTCAATATTGATTTCTCGATTCAAAATCATATCATAGTGAAATAAAAGACATATTTATTATAAGAAATAATTTATTAAATAATAAATAAAATTTAATGCAAATATTACATAAAGAAATATTTTTAATAATTTTTATAACCCTATACAATAAATTATTAACTAAGATCTATAATCGTCATTATCGACGTATTTACGTATTCTGTTTATTCTTTTTTATCATAGTCTAATCAAAGTATAATCTACTTTTAAAGAACAGTAACTTTTCGTAACTTTATGATTTCATCCATTCTAGGTGCAATGATACGTCATAAGTTAGTATCTCATCTAACACGTAACACTGCTGATCTTCAAATTACTCGAGAAGACAGTGTCATTCCATTCGATTGTAATAATTAAATTTTGTTTAATAACATTTTATATTAAGTATTTTAAATAGTAAGAGAAATTAAAAATGACAGAAAGTGATAGACAGAAATAATTTGATACATAGAGTACCTAGCTTATGGAAAATATTGCTTTATTTATTTTATTTGAATTAGATTAAATATATTTCAAAATACATACGACTGGAAACTTGAATAATAAAATCAATAGACCGAGAAAATAGTTAGAATAATTATATATGCATATACAATTTGTTTTATAATAAATCAATCTAATCGCTATATCACGTTCTTTGGCCAATTTTAATATACTTAAGCTAATGATAATTAGCATCAAAATATACAGAGAGTCCGGATAGTATGTGTCTTCTGAATATTCTTCTCTCTCTCTCTCTCTCTCTCTATATATATATATATATATATATATATATATATATATATATATATATATATTTATTTATTTATAATGTATGCTGAATGACAATTAAATTATTTATTGTGAAAAATTATGCATTAGGTAATATTCAATTCAATTGACACTGCTGTAATATAAATTAATATATTTATATAAATATACTTTATCACAAAATTTAATATTTTTGAATATATTACTTTTAGTTTCAGTTTATGTAATAAAATTTCAATTTTATTTTATTCTTAAATTCACGCTTTTAATTTCAATTGTAAAACTTTTACAAAAATTAACATTTTTCGATATATATATATATATATATATATATATATATATATATATATATATATATATATATATATATATATATATATATATATATATATATATATATATATATATATATATATATATATATATATATATATATATATATATATATATATATATATATATAATTTTTTATATGTTGGTTATAAAATATCTTTGCTATAATTTTGTATTTGTGTTAAAATTATTAAAAGAAATTATATAATAATAATTGAATTACTTATGTCACGTATAATGATTTAATTCAATTTTTACTTATCTATAAAGTCTATAATAATTATATTATGACATTTATCTGTAATGAGGCAATCTATCGAATCTTTATACATAAGCAATAAAATGAAAAAAATTGTCAAGATAAATCACAACGACTTCATTGGAAAAATTAAGAATTTTGAGGGATCAAATGAATTATAGAATCCAAGTTATAATAAAACCCTTTTTTCTCGTCTTCATTTTTTTTTTATAATCAAGTAAGTTTATAAGAAAAATGCTCAAATGCTATAAGTTATGAATTCGTGAAAACATGTTTACTTATTCATTACTTGTTTGCATTATGATTATGATTATCTAAATTTTCAATATTTATACTTTTTTCATCCTATTAGCAATTCTATAAAAGTAACTAAATATATACACTTCTTTAAGAATGTTTTTGTATTCGCTTCAACGTCTTTAAAATTGACTAATTAGTTAATCAGAATTCTATTGACTGTGAACCTTATACAATGTCTCAGCTAAATAATCTTCCGGATAACTTGCATTTTGTCTTCTTTTCTCACTAATTTCAGTATTGATAAAATGTACTTTTAAGAAAATGGTGATCCGTCGCATTTACTATTCTCAGGTGAATTCTTCTCGAGGAAGAAAATATTGCCTCGTGAAGATAAAAATAAATCTCATTAAGGTTTCGTATGTTGTTTTCTTGACCCAGAAAACCTCGCATAATCTGTGACGCGAACATGGCTCGGCACCGACAAACGAAAGAAATTCACCCGCGCAATCGCTTTCACGTAAACTTTATGTTTCGACGATCATGAGAGGGAAAAAACTATCTATTTGCCAGTCGTAATAGTAATAGCTCCGACAATTAAATGTCGAAAAAATTGCTCTGGAATAACGATTAGTGCTACGAAATTATCAAATTATCGATTATACAAAGCTCAATCCAATGACTTACATCGTTCTCGTGAAGCTGCTTTACGAATTATGTCAGAGAATTTTTATCTCTTTTATAGATTTTTCCCGTCTGACGCATAGAGTTGCGACACCATGTGAAAAATATCAACTACAACTCGAATGGGAAATTTATAACGAGTTTCTTTCTCTACTGCCCTCGCTTGCCTTTCCACCCTTATAAAGGGCATTTACAATAGCAAACTGGTGAGCTTATGATTTAAAAAGTAGCCGAGTTCGACCGAGTGCTTGAGTCCTCGATATTAAAGTGTTACTCCTAACAGTATCGTATCCGACGAAGTTTGAATGTGTATTTTGAAAACAAAAGTAGTCAACGAAAACAGTGCAGTCATTTAGAAAATGAGAAAACTGAATATGATCAAGTTAAGAGACAGAAATTTACCTTTATTAATAAAGCTTTTATTAATTTCACTTATTATTGTATCTTTAATATATAAAGCATTGCTGCTATGCTGCTATGGACGATCGTTCATCATTATTATACGTTCGACAATCTACAATTTTTAATTGAGAAAAGTCGCCGCAGCTCAACTAAAGTATAAATGAATCGATTGATTTTTTTTAATTATTAATAACGTATGTGTATAATAATGCACGTAACAATATAAATGTAAATTACCACGTAATATAATCCCAGTTAAATTCACTTTGTAATTTTTTTCGCTTTTTATAGTTACAAAATAATAATCGCAAGGAAATTTGTATAAAAATATTTTCATACACGCACGGACACACAGATATTTTCGGTCGATATTTAAAAAATGTATTTGTAAAATACACGTGACAGTTAGGACAGTTTAATAATTACAAGATTTTATAGTATCTGATCTTTATCCTGTTTATTCCGTAAATGTACATAAATATTCCAAACAAATACTGTAATTAGTAACTAAAGAGAAGGATGATGCAAGTACTCAGAGTTTGGAGAAGTGAAGTAACTCGCAATCACTATTATAAATAAATGGGAAAGAAACAATAAATAAGATATATTGAAAATTCCCGATATGTAGTTATAAGTTTTAATATTTCCATTTCAACAATTATTGAAAATAAAATAAAATTCTCAATTGCTTGATCATATATCTTAATTATTATACTATTTGGTATACATCCTTAATAAATATTCAATATCGTAGTATTATAATATAAATACTATTATAAAAAAACTCATTAAAACACATAAATCATATATTATGCTTTAAAAAAGATAAAATATTATCTGCATTGATTTTGATTTTTCGTTTCTCAAAAATTATTCATATTATTCATACACAAAAACATAATTCCATAAACTTTATCTTAACAACTAATTGTCCTCTTTAACATTAATGCCATTTTTTAAATAAAAAAAAAATAAAAATAAATCCCAAAACTTAATTGTAAAAGTTTCAATCCTATTTCAATAATTCAAGAACACGTGCAATTATATTCTTAAAAAAAAAAAAATAACAAAGTTGTTATTGATGTATTATTTATATGAAGTAATGATAAATTCATCTAATACAAACAAAATTACGAAGCACAAATAATTTTTAGAATAGTGGTAATTATATAATATATAATTAATAATTAATTTTTCGTGTTGTGTAGTATTTATTTAATTTTTCAATTTGTATTAGGGCATTTCTTAAAATTATTATTTCGAATTTTGACGTAATATTTATATTAATAAGTCTACAAGCAATTTACAAACTCAACTTTTACAGATTTATAAAAATATAAAATATAGTTATTATAACATTAGGTTACTTAGAATTTGTAAATATGTAATAAATGTTATGAAGTAAAACACCTTTTCTCCTGTGTCTCTTACACTATTTATAAATAAAAGTCTTTATTAATAATTAATATTACGGTGATGTGCATTTTTATTTATTCGTTAATCAATAACTACAATGTATTGATATGGCATTATTGTACTTTATGACAATCTATTAAAAATATATTACATTAATTAATAAATTATGATGTAAGCGTTCTACTATTTCCAAATTATTACATTTATTTGTAATGTTACCACTAACTTTTATTATTATTATTATTATTATTATTATTATTAATTCCTATCTTTTCTAGTAAAGTAATTCCCAAAGTGTGTACGAGTGTCTGCGATAATTGTAGATAATAAGTTTTGAAAATATAATATATATATATATATATATATATATATATATATATATAGAAAGAAATTGTAAACTAAACTAATCAAAGGCCAAGTGAATGTCATCCTTTTTTTCACTCCCTTAATGAGTTTATTTGAATATTAAAGGAAGATTTTACAAGTACATCAATTATATATTTTACTGCCCGAGTGCTATAAAAAATACTCCAGTCGGCGCTCATAAACTTCAGAGCCCCGTAAGAATATTTTGAACGTTGACTTGTTAAAAGAAAGCTTCCTACAGCTCAGAAATATGATATCCAATTGATGAATGACCAACAAATTAAATTTTTATGTTTCCTTGTTGTTGAATATGCTGGCAGGCGTCAGTTTCAATATTATTCTGCCTAAAACTTCGGCCAAGGCTCATTTGAATTCTAAAATTGCAACATGAGAACAGACACGAGTCTTTTTATAAGTATTAGTTTGACAATTGAATAATGATCATTAATTTTGTTACAAATATTAGGAAGATTTTCAAATTTAAATCATATTTGAAGTTACATATGTTGAGAAATAATCAGTAAAACCTTTTGTGGCTATATTAATGTCTCAAATATTTCAAAAGTATCAATGAAAAAATTTTCTGCTTCAATAAATATTCATTGTATTTAAAAGAAAAAAAATAATAATAATAATAATAATAATCATAGACAAATTAAATACATACATAAATAATGCATGAAATTGATTTCAAAATAATAGAATCAGCAGTACAGAAGAAGAATTTATGCCCGTTAGATATTTATTGCAATATTAAAGTTAAAAAGGATAATGACAATCTTCACCAATATTTGATGGTACTGATTTGATCAGAGATATTAAAATGAAATATTCAAATATCAAGTCTCATAAGCGTAATAGAATCAAAGTACTTGTTATTTTCTCTATATCAGGCCATTAAATTGCAAATCATATAAATATCATTGAAAAATTAACTGCAACTATTAAGAAACGTAGTTTAATAACTATCAATTATCTACTAATGCGATGGCTATATACAATCGTCAGATATCACATTAATAAGTTCAAATTACTAGTTTCTACATCACTTTGGCTTAAGAAAAGATTTAACCAATTAACTCAACCATCCAGATAGATGTCAATCTATTAACAAATGTTTGAAAAATATAAATGGCATTGGTGGGATTATATTAAATCTGATTACAACGATTGAAATTATAATTTTGTTATCTTAGGCTTTGTAGGTTTTTAATTACAGGCTTCTATTATCTGTCTGAAAATATTAAAAATTTGAAATATTTAGATGAATTTACTTTAATATTTGACAGCACGCGTTTTAAAATATATAAAATTCTGAAGATTTCATGTTTTTTATCATATAATCATATTATATAATCATGCGAAAAAAACATTGTTCAACCAATTAATTTGTAAACTTAGTTGAATTCGTAAGGTGCCGTTTTCTTCTTCTTTCTATTATTTTTAACTGTGTAAACAAGAAATAAATGATAAACTAATAATTTAACACTTGTTAATTTAGTTGCGCGTAATTATTAAGTGACGGTTACTTCCAGACATGTACGATAGAATTAACTAAATACATTATAAATTAAATATGAAATAATAGTCGTATACTCTTATAATGTTATTAATAGTAGAGGAGGGAGGATGTTACTATAGAAGAATTGTCAATGAGTACAGCAAATACAAAGCAATACTTTTGGGTAATAAATTTTTATCAGTGAATATTCCATGGTAAATATTCAAGTAAAAAAATTTATTTAAAAATGTTAAAATAATAGTGATTATACGTAAATTGTGCGAGGCTCGTTTAATGAATTATTGAAAAATAATACCTGGTATTTTATAATACGGTGTTTTCAAATAAGATAAATTACTTTTTAAACTTCAAATATGTATTTCTAATGTATTGTTTACTTTCTCAATGGACATGGAATTCATTGCAAGCTCGTTAAAAGTATATCAATGATTAAAATTTTATTCGCATTTAATGAGCACCTAATTTTACTAATCAATATGAAAACATACTTTGCCAGATTAAGGGAGGGTCAGTAGATTTTAAGGCTTTCAACCGTATGAATATTAAAATTATCAATGATTATTTTTCAATAATTATTTGGTAAAGGAACTATAATACATTAGCCATATCTTATCAATTTAGTTTAGTAATAAAAATTTTTTAAAAGTCTTATAAGGCGCGTTTATAGAGAATATCGAAGTAATTTTCTTATCAAATTAATCTCCGTTCTTTCATGGTGCTGAACCTTTTATTTAGATGACGACATGTTATTGTATCCCAAGTACGGTACCATTAAAATACTCATTGCGGTGTAATTGATTGATTAAAAGAAACTTTCAAATTTATAAATATTTCAACCATGTTTTAAGAATTTCTTATCAGTTCGACAAAACATGTGTAGTGAAAAGATCCTCGAATTTTTTTAAGTATAAAAGAAATTGACGATATAAATAAAATAAAATAGTTGAAATAAAAATATAAAAATAATCATATATATATAACAAAACAAATTAAATTGTGCTTAGCCATACAGATTAAGTAAATTTAAACAGCTGAAATATCGAATGTTTAATATAATTAATCGCGTAAAATTACTCTATAATCACCAACAAAGCTATTATGTTATTTTTTAATGTAACGTACTAACAATAGATATTTTATTTACTTGACTGATATATACTTCACTTGTTAAAAATGAAAAAATAATATAGCAAATACTTAATAATACGTTTATTATATTATTATTTAGAACTGTGATCTCAGCTTATTAAAAGAAACGTGTCCCATGATAAAAACAAAGACACATACATATGCACGTGTTTATTAAATAAAAATTAAAGTTTAAAGAAAACAACAAAAATTTATAATAATCACCGATCATAACAATTCAATACTGAATCAGACTTTACAAAGTTGCAAGAAATACAATTCTTTTCAAAGATTTTTAAAGCCTAAGGTACAAATTAATTTAAATATGTAGTTGGATTCCATTTTTCTTTAATTCTCGTGATATTTTTTTACAATAATGAGCCACGGGAAAAAAATTTAGATTAATCTCTAAATATCACAAATGCAAATAAACAATATTATTCAACGTAATTCTTTTTTTTTTTTTTTTTTTTTTTTTTTTTTTTTTTTTTTTTT